GTTGCACGTGGGCTGCATTGCAGGTTGCATGTGGGCTGCATTGCAGGTTGCATGTGGACTGCATTGGGGTTGCATGTGGGCTTCATTGCAGGCTGCACGTGGGTTGCATTGCAGGCTGCACATGGGCTGCATTACAGGTTGCATGTGGGCTGCATTGCAGGCTGCACAAGGGTCGCACTGCAGTTTGCACGGAGCTTGCACACGTGTTGCCTTGCAGGCTGCATGCAGTTTGCATTGCAGGTGGCACACGTGTTGCATTGTGCTTTGCATTGCTCTTTGCACGCAGACCCAGGCCCAGATTTTACACGGGTTGCATGGAGTTTGCATTGCAGGTGGCACACGTGTTGCATTGCGCTTTGCATTGCTCTTTGCACGCAGACCCAGGCCCAGATTTTACACGGGTTGCATGCAGTTTGCATTGCAGGTGGCACGCGGGTTGCATTGCAGGTGGCACGCGGGTTGCATTGCACTTTGCATTGCTCTTTGCATGCAGACCCAGGCCCAGATTTTACACGGGCTGCATTGCAGTTTGCATTACCGGTTGCCAGCGGGCCCTGCACGCAGGCTGCTCGCACGCTGCGTGCCACACGTGCCCCCCACACGCGCCCCCCTTGTCCCGCAGGAGCAGATCGGCTGGCGCCCCTTCACCCGCCTGCTGGTGTTCGCCTCCGACGACACCTTCCACACGGCGGGCGACGGGAAGCTGGCGGGCATCGTCACCCCCAGCGACAGCCGCTGCCACCTGGACGCCAGCGGCGTCTACAGCAAGAGCCACCTCTACGTAAGCGCGGGGGCGCCGGGGCCGCCCCCCGCCCGGCGGTGCCACCCACGCCACCCCGCGCCCCTTGCAGGACTACCCGTCCGTGGGGCACCTGGCGCAGGTGCTGGCGGCCGCCAACATCCAGCCCATCTTCGCCGTCACGCGGCCCGCGGTGCCCGTGTACCAGGTGAGGGGGGCGGCGGCGGGCGCCCGGCTGGGGGCGGGGGCCACCCTTGGGTGCCGACCCCCCTGTCACCCGCCGCGGCAGGAGCTGAGCCGCCTCATCCCCAAGTCGGTGGTGGCGGAGCTGCGGGAGGACTCGAGCAACGTGGTGCAGCTCATCTCCGACGCCTACGCCGTGAGCGCCCGCCGGACGCCGGGGCCCCTGCCCGGCCCCTCCCAGGGGTCTGGGGGGGGGTTGGGTGGGTGCTGACGCCCGCGGGTGCCCCCAGAGCCTCTCGTCCACGGTGGAGCTGCAGCACTCGCCGCTGCCGCCCGGCGTCACCCTCAGCTACGAGTCGCACTGCGGCGGCCCCCCCGGCCCCCCCCGGCCCCACGGCGGCTTCTGCTCCGGCGTGGCCGTGGGGCAGCAGGTGAGCGCGGGGGGGGCGGGCGGCACCCCTGGGTGCTGCGCGGGGTCCCCTGGGTGCTGCGCGGGGTGCCCTCCGCTCCGGGCTGCACCGCACGGCCCCGTGGGTGTCCCCGTGCCGGGGTGTCCCTGTCTGCGCCCGGCGGGTCCCTCCAGGCCGTCCTGCCCGGGCAGTGCCCGTGAATCCAGGCTGTGCCCATGCCCATCCATGCCCATCCATGCCCATCCATGCCATCCTGTCCGTGCAGCACCCAGGAATCCAGACCACATCCATCCCTGGTGCCAGGCTGGCCCATCCTGGCCATGCCCATCCATCCCATCCTGGCCATGCAATGCCCATCCATGCCATGCCCATCCGTGCTGTGTTCATCCATGCTGTACCCATCCATACCATCCATGCCGTTGGTGCCCATCCATGCTGTGCCTATCCGTGCCCATCGGTGCCCATCCATGTCATTGGCGCCCATCCATGCTGTGCCTATCCACGCCATCCGTGACTATTGGTGCCCATCCATGTCATTGATGCCCATCCATGCTCATCTGTGCCTATCTGCACTGTGTCTATCCATGCCATCCATGCTCACTGGTGCCCATCCATGTCTCCCATGCCATCGGTGCCCATCCACGCTGTGCCCACCCGCGCCATCGGTGTCCATCCGTGCCGTCGGTGCCCATCCATGCTATGCCTATCCATGCCATCCGTGACCACCGGTGCCCATCCATGTCATTGATGCCCATGGATGCCACCCACGCCATCGGTGCCCGCCCACGCTGTGCCCCCCCGCGCCATCGGTGCCCCCCGGCGCCGCGGCCGCCCAGGTGAACTTCACGGTGCGGGTGCGCGCGGGCGGCTGCCTGGCGGCGCCGG